GGCAGAAATTTTTGACTTAATTTGAGTCAAATTTTCAGGCTAACAAGACAAATAATCTTACACATTCTGATATTCTTACAATCAGTTCTTTTGTAAACCAGTCTCAAAACAAGATCAAAAAGACTTTTTGGCTTGATATAAGATTTTAAAACTTGGTTAGGTGGACATTTTTTGCAGTGTATTGATAAACAAATAACACAAAAGGACAGGAGCTGGTCACAAACACTGAGGTAAAACAACAAAACTGAACAAAAATGATGCAAAGCACACGAGGCTCTTTGGTTCCTTTGATCTGAATCACCGTCTACCGCTGAGCTCTGAGGTTTGGAACAGGCTGCAGCCGCCTCACGCATCACCCTGAGTCCTACACCAAACCTGATGGGCCTCCTCCGAGTCTACGAAGATAAAACTCACTGATGACTTTGATTCATTAGATCCTGCTTGGCTAGTCTCATTCTCATGTTGGGACAGAAAGGGGGAAACAAGCTACTTGTTTTCACTCCTTTAACTATCCATTTTTTTAGYTCTCGGTGACTTCCTGCCCAGGTTCCCCTTGCCAGTGACCCCTCAGTGGTTTAATAAAGCAAATGAAATGTTCCTGTGATCCCCAGGTTTGTGGTTAGGTGTGTTTAAAGCAGATGAGATGCACGGTGGAAGAGTTTTTCACCTCGTCGGCGGCGTATTGAAGAAGTGCGGCGGCAGGAGAGGGGGAGCTGCAGTCGTTACTGTGAAGCTGCCCAGTCTCTGACATCTCAGAGGAGCTGGAAGTGGGACAGGGCTGGGACAGAGAGGACAGAGAGCAGCAGGCAGGAGGTGGAATGACACCGGGAGGAAAACGTGCCAATAAGGGATTTTGAGACAAACAGACAAAGTGGGRGGTGGGGGGGATTGAAGGAAAGAGAGCAGGTAGAAAGACAAAAGCAGTTTTTAAAACAGAGAAGCCTTTTCTTCCATAGTTAGTGAGGAGAACAACCAAGTGAGGACGTAAACACGATGCATTAAAAGAAGAGTTACACCAGTATTAAATGCACAGCCTTTAGGAACAGTGTGTTAGGTGTGGGCTCATGAGGCTCGGCCAAAGTTATTAAAAAGTCCTGGAAATCAAAGGCATGTAGAGCAGCCAGCTAACAAGGCTGCTCTCTTTCAAACATCAGTAACTTCACCCAGATAGAGGAAACAGGAGMGCTGATTCCCAGGCCTATACTGTAAGTKGATCAGGCTTGGACTTGCCAAACCACCTTCAGTGCATCATAAAATCCTTCGAGCCCGACTGAACCAACGTGTTCTGAGCCAGGGAGCTCTGGTCGCTGGCGTGCAGGAAGCAAACTGCTGGAGCTGCTCTCACGGCTGATCGCAAGCCTCAAACCCCACACAGACGACCCCCCCCC